TAAACGCCATTATTCAATGCATTCAATTCCCTCTCATAAATCACACATTTAAGGTATTAACTCCCATTCACCCCCATTCAATCATATATTTAAAACTTTTTTATTTATTCTCATCACTAAATTTCACTAATTAAATCCATACATAATAAATTAATAATTCCAATAACGTAAAAATTTATACTTTTAAAATATGCATGGAAAAAATAGTGTTTTCATATAGGTGGTGGTAAGAAATGGACCAACTCATGTTGCCACAGTTATCCACCTGTTTAAAAGTTAGTGTGTTGTGTTAAATACCAAAAAATGTTGCCACAATTAAATAATATAAAATCCCAAAAATAGAGAGAGAGAAACTAAATAAAATTCTGTAACACTTTTAATATCATATATTTGACATATTAAACAATAATAAGTATGACAAATAAGAATTATTTTTATTAATGATGGAAATGGAATATAAAATTTTAAAATAATTTGAAATAAAACTATTTTCCTATTCTCTCTCATTAAATCTCATATCTAAGTTATATTTGCTCATTATATTCTATACTGAACATATATTTTTTTCATCATTAAATTCCACTAATTAAATCCATAACATTAACTTTATTACTATAAAAATAAATATTTTGAAAATTTGTTTGGAAAAAAACATTTTCTTTTCCTCTCGGTGGTGAGTAAACAATTCAACCATTTGGGGTTAAATGGGTTAATCAACAATGTCATAATTTAATAATAAAAAACTAAATTGAATAAAACATAAAATATATAAAAACAAAAAGAATTAAACATATCTCCAATATTGTATATTCATTATTACTAAACAAAAATAAGTATGAAATATAATAAGTATTCTTATTAATGATGAAAATGGAATGTCAAATCTAAAATCAATCTGTAAATGAAATGATGTCATAGTCAAATAATAAAAAATTTAAATTAGAAAATAAAAATAATCAGAAAATTTAAAAAACTAGATGAAATTTCGGGCACATATCTAATGGGTACATGTATAATATTATACATTCGTTATATTGAACAAAAATAAATATTATACATAAATTTTAATTTTAGCAACGATATAAATGTAATAGAAAATTTAAAGTCAACATAAAAATCAAACTATTTTCCTTTATTTTTTGAAAAAAAAATTATTGTCCTTTTTTGGGTGGTGGGTTATTTGTTTGTGTAAAATGAATTAACTAATGATGTCATAGTTAAATAATAAATCTTTAAAAAGTAAAAAATGTACAAGTAATCAAAAGAATACAAAAATGTATAAATCTCTAATGTTATGTATTAATTATATCAAACAAAAAATTAGTGTAATAAGTAAAAAATATTTATATAATGTAGATGAATTATATAATTTAAAACTGATTTAAAAACAAAGCTATTTCTCTATCTAGATTGTGGGTCAATGATCCAACTTTTTCAAATAAACTCATGGTTAAAAAAAAATAATAATGATAATGATAATGAAATTGTTATTGTAATTTAAAATTTCCTTGTGCAATCCACATGAAGTTTGAATTTTTTGTGTATATTTACTTTTTATTTTATAGGGTCATTTATTATAACACCCCATATAGTTTCACAAATTTACTTAGATCTACCTATAATTTACATTTTACTAAAACACCCCTTATAGTTTGCAACCTATTTATCAACATTTCATTAAGAAATATTTGTTTTGCCATTTGAATATAGTAACATGATCACCTAAACTAAGTAAAAAATGTTCACCCATGGTTGTTTTATTCCAATTATACCCTAAACTGAGTGGATAATGTTCAAGGATACGGATCCATGGCTGTTTATTCTAAAAGTACCCCTAACACTTTTGCATAGAAAACAAAATTGATCAAATGGAGAATAATAGATTGGTTGTCCATGTTTTACTAGGGGCAAAAATGGGATTTTTGTTTTTAGTTTCTTTTCATTAAATTTATTTTAATGGATGTTAGGGTTAAAACTATCATTTTGGAAGGTCGGTTAAGTAAATTGATTGCAAACTATAGGGGGTGTTTTAGTAAATGTGTATTATGTATTTATTTATACTATGTACTGTGTATTTATACCGTGTGTGTGTATACTTTTGTGTATTGTGTATTTATTTATACTGTTAAAAGTATCAATGAGGGTGTGAAACTTATTTTGTACTAAACTACCCCTATTTTTTAATTTAGTTCCTCTTTAATTTTGAGGGCTAATAATGTAATATCCTTTACAAATTATCACCTTATTTAATTCCCTTATCATTAAGCCTTATATTTAAGGAACTGATTCATAGTCTCTTACATTAAATTTTGTATTTAAGGTATTCTTTATTTAATAAATTCTGATAATTAGGTCTTTATCAAATACTTTTTAACAATATGAAACCCATGTTTTTTAAAGGATAAAATGCTAAAACCTCCCTTAGAGTTTCTAACCATTGTTAAAACTTCCCTTAAAATTTGGTAATTGCAATCACCACCCTTGAACTTTTCAACACAACTGCAAGTAGACCCCTTCTCTTATAATCCTCTAACAAGAGGCATGAAAATGTCCAAAATAACCATTTTATTACTTTGACTAAAATGTTTATTTTCCAAATTTTCCCTTTCATATCAATCACTACCCCAAACCCTTCCAACTTCTTTTCTAAAATGATTTATTTTATGAAATTTCCCTTCATATAAATTTCTCAAAAAGTTGCAATTTTAAACTTTATTTTTTTGTTGTTCATAAAATTCGCATTATGCTATAAAAAAACTAGCCTCGATGGTACCTACATGGGTATTTTGGACACTTTTGTGTGCCTCTTGTTAGAGGATCCCAAGAGAGAGGGTCTACTTGCAACTGTATTAGAAAGTTAAAGGGAAGCGATTGCAATTATCAAACTTAAAAGGGGGGATTTCAGCAATTTATCATTTTATAAAATTAACAAAAAAAAAAAGAAAAAGAAAACGGAACCATTCTTCTGTCAAGGTGGTGGCTAAGCCAATTCGACCATCTGAGGTCAATTTGGGTTTAATCCATGTGGGCCAATTCTTTGATATTTTATATTAATCATAATAAACAAAAATAAGTGTCATAAACAATAATTGTTTATATTGATAATGGAAATGAAACACAAATTTTAAAATCAACCAAAAAATGAAATTGATTTCCTATTTGGTCCAAATCAACGGTTCAACTTTTAATTCAAATGTGACAATATTTGATGTCATAGTTAAATAATAAAAATTAAAAAAATAAAATTGAAAAATACATAAATTTTGAAAAAAAAGAAAAAAAACAGTTGGGCGCATCTTTAATATTGTATATTCATTGTATTAAAGAAAAACAAGTGTCATAAATAATAATTATTTTTATGCACATGAAAATATAACGGATGTAAAAAATGTAATTTCAATTTAGTCCCATTTTAATTGTGAGGGCAAAAAATGTATTTTAAACTATTATTTTTCACCTCATTCAAATCCATCTCATTGAGTCATATATTTGAGAGACCAACACCTATTATATATATCTCATTAAATGATATATTTAAGATATTTCCTCGCCAATAAAATATGTTATTAGATCTATATCCAATACTTTTAACAATAAATCTCATTTTCTTTCAATGTTGAACCAAAAAATGAAGTCGTCATTCTGTCTATGTGGTGGATAAGCAATTCAAACATCTAAGTCAAATGGGTCAAGCCATGATATCATAATTAAATAATAAAAATTAAAGAAAGACAAAAACAAAAAAAAAGCATAATATTTGTAGAAAACATTTGAAATATCTTTAATATAAAATTATTTTATATACATAGAAATATATGCAAAATTTAAAATAATTTAGATATATATTACTATTTTCATCATCTAAAATTGCCATGTGCAAATTTACTGATCAAATATAAGATGGTGATGATCTCAATACTTGTTTCTTGGGGCTGAAGTGGCTCAACTGAATGATTTATCAGTTTTGTCTTTTGATAAGTAGAAAATAATTTAATAATAACAGATTGAAGGGTGAGCCAATGAAGAGCAGCACACACAACCTCCTTAATAAATTACTCACTAAATAACAAGACATTTGTTATACCAATCAAACAAAGGAGGAGAGGATAAGAATCCTTTTGCATAAAAACTAAATAAGAGAATTGGTGTTTGTGGTGTGTAGAGTAGGATCCAACAATGACAAGTAGATGGCTCTAATGAAAATGAAATCTTGCGTGTCACCATTGGTGGTAAATATTTGTCTTTTTATCGTCGTCATCTGCCGATGCCTTTGACATTAGCACGTGCCGAGCATATCACCGTTAAAGTCTAGATCTTATCCCCACAGAAAATTGTTCCAACATATTCCAACATGATCTATGCCCGCACATGTCATACATAATGGGTCCCACTCTTATTGCAGTTGGTTTGAATGATGGCTAGGACTGATTTAACACATTGACAAGGATGTTATGAACATTTCTCTTTTTCTTTTAATTTTCAATTGAAGAAATAGAAGAATAAATTAAAAAACAATATAAATAATTTATTGTATAATTAATAAACTTAAATTATAATGACCACGAGTTCTTAGTTATATATATATATATATGTATATATATTATGTATTAGTGCATCTTTCTTTGGATTAAGTTGGGGACCATCAACCATGGCATTATGAGAGAGATATTGACCCTGGTGGACCACCAAACAGGGCCTTGGTCCTTAAATTAGCTCGTTTGTTCAAGGCTTCAAGTCAAGCCCAATTAGTTATTGACTCGTTTTATAGGCGGGTTGACCCAGACTTTCTCACTCTTATTGGGCATTAAGGCATTTTATTAATTTAAGTGGCATTTTCGTCATAATCAAAATTCCTTTTAACTTTACCTAATTTGCGCAAAACCTAGGCGCGCTTTTGACTTTTAAGTTTTACTTTACCTACCTATATATATGTTATTTTCTTTTTTTCCGCAGACCGGAGACGATTATTAAACGGTGACGTCGATCCGTTTTTACCGTTAGATAAACTTTTCCGTTAAAATCGCATTTTAGGCGTACATCATACTGATCCATCTGCTTCTCCAGAGCAAAAACCAAGGAAAAAAGAGAAGGAAAAAAAAATTTCAAGGATTTTGTGCTGAGACAGCGGGAGAGGCGACGAAATCCATACACAGAGAGAGAGAGAGAGAGAGAGAGAGAGTTTGGAAGTCAAAATTTCTCTTCCGAATTGGACTTTATGGGCTTAAGATTTATATTTTTACTATCAGTAATGGCGTCCGTGTCTCTGAGTCGTTCATTTGGAGCTCCTCTTCGATTAATCTCACCACCTTTTGAACCCCTATTCATTGACGGTTGGCAATGACAGTAGCAGCTACTCTTAGTGGTTTCTTTTCAGCTTGGAGTTTTTATTTCTTCTGGAGAGTGTTTTCGTCGATGTTTTATTAAGATTAGATAGATCTGAAGTGTTCGTTTTCTGTGGCATCGGTGATGTCGGGGTTTACGGGTTCATTCTCACTTTCCTACTGTACTGGTATGTTTTCATCGAGCTCCTCTAATACTTCTGCGATTATTTTTTTCGTCTGTTCTTTAATAACGGTTCATTTTTTTTTCCCTTTGTTGGGTTATGTTGAGGTCATCAGTCGGTAATTTTCGTAAATGTAGCGCATTTGCTTGGTTTAGCTGATGATGATTTAGTTTTCGGTGTTTCGACTCGATTGAACTAGGGTTTATTGGTATTTAGGATTGTTGATCTTGTCTGGCTCTGCCTGAGTATTACACCTGCTATTTGTTGCATTCTCTTATTCTTCATGTAGAAATACACACTACTTATAGGTGTGAGCTCATGGATAAATATATCTAGTTGGAATACATTTCTTACGAGGATGGTGCTGATATCTTTCGTTCTGGCGAATATGAGATATTACCTGTCTTTGCACACAATACTTTACCTATTTTTTAGGGCTTTAAGCTTCAAAGTTGCGAAAGTTTTCTTTTATCATCTGTTCTGCAATTGTTGAGTTCCTTATTATCTTTCTGTCTTCATACATATTGGACCTTTTCTAATACTTGAATCTCCAGGAGTTGTGAAAAAGGTTCGATGGTTATTGCTGGAATATTTGCTCATTCTGTCTTACAGATCATTCGTCACTGGTGCTGAATCTCCCAACCATTTTTCGGAAACACCTCAAGTGTATCCCCTTGGAACTCCATTCAGCAGGCCTACTGTTCCTGAATTTCCCCTGCCAGCTAATCTTCCACTATTTCATCATTCATATAGGAAACATCTTTCTCCACATGCTGCTCCTGCAGTGCTAATGCCAGCCGCACCTCCAAATTATGGTTCACTAACAACTTCTAGTCATCCCCCTTCAAGCTCACAGTTGTCAAAACCATCGATGAAAAGAAATCAATTACCACCACCCAGTACTGGCCTTCTACCCCCTCGCTTGACAGGTGTTGCTCCAACACATTCAAATGCTGGTACGCTTCCTTCTGGTTTAGCTCAGCCACCGTTGTCTCCTCACATCTCTGGTAAGATATATTATAGTTCAGTTTTTCTTTTTACATTTCCAACTTGAGTAGGGCCTTGATAGCAAGTGCGGCTTCGAGGCAATATTATTCCATTCTTTTTAAGTTATGCTTCATGTATGAAATATTTATTTTGCTCTAATTTTTACATTCTTTTATCTGCTTTGGCAGACTGTTGTGAACCGGGCATGGTACTTAAACGAGGGAGTCGGGCTTGCCATTGTGTATATCCAATTAAGCTTGACCTTCTCCTTATGAATGTTTCTCTGAATTCTAATTTGAGTCCATTTCTGGAAGAATTGGCTTCTCAGCTTGGTCTACGAGTTTCTCAGTTTGAAATTATCAACTTCTATGTACTTGGCTTATCAAAGCTGAATATTTCGATGGATATTACTCCACATACAGGGATAAGTTTCTCTGCCAGTGATGCACATGTTATAAACACATCCCTTGCTGAACATAGGATTCATCTTGACCCAGCGTTAGTGGGTGACTACAAACTTCTTAATTTTACCTGGTTTAAGCCACCTGCTCCTACTCAAGGTAATCCTCATTTGATGTCTGTCATAATTATGATCTCATTGCCTACTTTGTGCTGTTTTATTTATTTATTTATTTATTTATTAGTTTGTTGCTTTGGGTATCTAGTACTACCTTGTACTTGCATCCTAGTTATAGTCTCTGTGAGTGCAAGTCCACTTTGGTCCCTTTAGAAATGGGAACAAATGTTCATGAAACTTATGAAGCATAATCAAATTAGTATGAAGACATTGTTATATCACATTTCAGGAAATGCTATGAGAAGCATACAAATTGAAAATATATTTGTGATTTTTTTTTTTATATAGTGTTGATTGTGCTTCTGTTCTTTTTTTTTTTTTTTTTGTGGGAGAGTAAACGATCATTCCTCTGTTGAGGAATTATATGCACTCCACTTATTTGGAAAAGCCTTGCCCCAATTATCTAAGGCTGGTATTTGGCCATTCCTTTATAAATGGCCACAATTCAGTTAGCAGTCACAGGAGTTTTGTCACCTGTGCCAACTTCCTTTTTGGCCTTCTCCTTGCTTTTTAGGGTCTTTAATTTGTGCTATATCAATCCTTATTGGAGCAGTAGGTTGTTTTCTATGAACAACCTATCCTCTTATTCTTGTTGTTCATCCCTCTGACCATTTTGTATTGACCTGATTAATCTTAGTCTTTTTATTCTAAACATATAACTCAACAAAAGTATTATTCCCAACTTGTTGGGATGGTTACATGAATTTTGTTTTCCCATTCCACCTATCGACTTCCATACTCTTTTTTTGATCAATAACTTTGAAAATTTTCATTAATTAGAAAACTTTAGGATACAACAAGAAGTTGTGAAAGAAATCAGCTTAGTAAGCTGACCCCAGACAGAATTACAAATGTGCCCAAAACATATATGTTCTTTGAACCCCTTGCTTTGCTAAGCTATCTGCCAAACTGTTGGCAGATCTCCTAACCCATCCCACCTGGATTGACATGTTCCTTGACATCCATTTAAATCTTCGGAAATCATTCTTCAACTGCCATGTCACCCTTCCCTTTTTTGCAACCATTTTATCACTGTTTTTGAGTCTCCCTCGATGATCAGTCTGTTAATACCCAACTCTTTAGCCTTCTCAACCCCATATGCTACAGCTAGAAACTCTGCCCTTGCCACATTACCCTCCTCCACAGGAACGGAGTACAGAGCAATAATGAGTCCATTTTCATCTCTAATGGCCCCCCAATGCCTGAAGGGCCTGGGTTATCCACACAACTCCCATCAAAGTTCAGCTTCTTCCAACCATCTGTTGGAGGAGACCAAGCCTCAAAAAACTGTTGTCTCGTAGATGATGAGGCAGCAATAAGTCCCCAAACCCTGAAAAAGTCTTCGATCTTAAAGGCTTCAAACAGCTTCAAACTTTTTACCCAATGTGCCACCCTCAATGCTATTGTTTCAATTAAAGCTTCCTTGCATTTTTCTTTTCCTTCAAATACTCTCTCATTTCTTTCCTCCCAAACAGTCCAAAGTATTGCTGCTCTAGTACACCTCCAATAATCCTACCCCTCCTTTTCAAGCCACTGATACCATTAGGGCTGAATAAACCTTCCAACCTGTCAGGAGAGGACCACCTGCACCCAAAAAGGGAACTAAACCAATTCCAAATAAATCTGACGAAAGGGCAAGATATTAGAAGGTGAAAAGCAGTCTCACCACTCAACTTACACAGGACACACCAGTTAGGGGACAAGCACCAATTTGGTCTTTTCCTTTGAAGTACATAAAAGGTATTAATACAACCATGAAATACTTCCCAACAAAAAACACTGATTATATAAAGGGGGGGGGGGGAGGGGGACTAGCACCAGGCATCAATCAATCAATCAATCAAGAGAGCTTCAACCTCCAAGGAAGCAGTCAACAACCCAGGAGGAGAAGAAAGGCGGCGAAGAGGAGAATTGAAGATTCAAAGGGCGAGGAGTTCCCCTCAATCAACTTCTATTCAATAGTTTTTTTTCTTCAAACTTTACTCTCTGTTATTATTCAATTTCACTTATGTTTAATCTAAATTTTATC